TGAAAGAACATTTATGTGACGTGGTTAATACATATACATATATATATATATATACATACATATATATATATATACATACATATATACATATATACATATATATATATATATATACATATATATATATATATATATATATATGTGTAGGAGACAGAGAACATGAGCTATGGGGATCATCAAACCTCCACTGGCTCAACTAAGCAAGTTTTTTCTCATTGCACTAATAACACTTTTAATAAGAAATGTTCCTGTTAATTTAATTTTAACAGCAGTTGCTCCATGGCTGTATAAAGTATTATGGAAAAAGGTTGGTGATCTGCAGGAAAATATACAGAAAACAAGTCAGACCGACAAATTTTCTGGAAGACAAGTGTCCCCTTTATTGTCATTTTATTAGTACAATATAAAAAGTTTTTACATGACAGAATGCATGGTGATGGATCAAAAACAGTGAAGTAGGCTACATTTATGATTATATTCTCAGAAAAAAATAAATAAATAAATGGGCTTGGTTGGAGACAAGACAGAATATAAAGGGAAAAGTCGGACGGCCTCTGCCGGATTCGAACCCGCCACGAAGCAAAAGGATCGCATTGAAGGCGGTCACTTAAGCCACCACACCACCTCTCGGTAGTATTAAGTGGTGAAACATTCCTAGTAATACCTGTGAATACAAAACATTAGTTGGCGATGCATGTTGATGCAAAACGTTTTTACGTGAAAATAGGCATGGAATGGATTCAAAATAACAGCAAAGTGTAAGTAGTGGATATATTCCTAAAATTAAGGCTTTGTGAAATGGCAATGCAGTGAATTCTGGCAATGCTGCAACATTGAGCTCTGTGCAGTTTTCCACAAAGCAGATCTGTGCTGAACTTTCTTGGTCTGGCTGCCTTGATCAGAGATTGGATGCAACCAGTTCAAATGCATTGGCTGTGGGAAAAGAAGGAAGGACATCATTATCATATTAGGAAAACGCGCGTTAAATACGCGCGTTCTGACCGACACAACGCGCGTATTTAACGCGCGTTCTGACCGACACAACGCGCGTATTTAACGCGCGTCTTGCGGTACTATCATGACGCGCGTAAAAGGCGGCGCTTGTTGGTAAAAGACGGCGTAAAAAGCGGCGTAATCTCGGGAGAACGCGCGTTTTTTGCGGGTTAACTTCAATCTTAACGCGACAATTCAATGCGAAATATGACCTTCTTGGCTTGCCATAGGTTACCTTCAATCTTAACGCGACAATTCAATGCGAAATAGGACCTTCTTGGCTTGCCATACCGCGGCGCGTTTTGAGCAGCAGGCCCAGCGCGTCTGAGCAGCTGAAGCAGGGAGAGAGGCACAGCGCTGATGATCAGAGGCTATGATCTCTCCTCTTAAGCAGTTTATTGACGCCTAAATTAACTTAAAATGCAGAAATCTGCCGGCAGAATATGCAGTTTGGATTATTTAGATGAAAAACACCTACCAGCTGCCGTGGTGAACCGCGAGGAGGCGACCTGGCCAGAGGCTGCTGATGAAGGGATTCCTTCTGTCGGCGCACCGCTGGTATGTGGGGGTCTGAGCGGCTCCGACAGAAAAAATATTGAAGGCAGGATAATAATCTGAATGAACTGACGGCACTGATTACGTTTTCAGGTGTATTTTCTCATTTAAACACATATTAAAACTACTTTATTCCAAATGATCACAGCAAATATAGCTGCAAGGCAGAGAAAGGATAGTGAAGCTCCGCCCAACGCGCGTCAGACACACTTTTGCACCGCGCAGCCAGAGCAGCAAAGCTGCTTCAGCCGCGCGTCAGAACTAACTGGTACAAGCAGCAAAAATGAAGCAGCAGACACGATTTTGCTGCTTTTGCTGCGTGAACGTAGCATAACTGCACAAAGATTGCCACTGTGCTAGCAACGAGAATGCTTTTAACTGGGGGGTGTAGCAGTTCTCGCCGTAAAGCAAGACTGACTCTCACGAGACTTCTGAGCCTGTGGGTGCGGGTCGGTGCTCCTGCAATTGCAAGTGCAGTATTTCCCCCACAGACCACCAGGGCGGCCGAGAATACCTTTGTTCAACCTGAAATGACTCATTTAATCATCCAAAACGTTATGGAACACATTAATTAACTGAAAAATGTTGCATAGTGTGCCTTTAAATGGAGCCTTAATGGAATCACAAAGACAGAACAGAAATGTAACAAATTTAACAATATTACAAAGAATTCCAATCCTGGAGACTTCATTTTACCAAACACTATTTCTAGAGTGGTTTTAATTGGCCATTTACAAAGAACTTCCACCAAACAGATGAAGCTGCAGCAACAAAAACGTGGAATTATAAAGTATAAGAAGACACTAAACTGAGCCTCTAAGGCAGGGATGTCAGACCGAGGCCCTCAGGGGCAGGTAACCTGCAACTTTTAGATGTATCCCTGGTCCAAAACACCTAAATCAAATGTTTGAATAACCTCATTGCATAGCCAAGCTCTAATGACCTTATTATTTGATTCAGATGTGTTAAAGCAAGGGCACATCTAAAAGTTCCAGAACAACGGTCCTCCAGGATTTCAGTCTGAGATCCCTTACCCAAAGCCAACAGATATTTTAAAGTGCCTTGAAATAGTCAGCAGAAAATCATGTTTTAAATGTTGATCTAAATCAACGATATTGTCTAGTAAGGGACGCAGAAAACCCATTGTTTGCATAACCACACTACAAATATAGCAGCCCAAAATTGAAGACATTATCCACAGATCACTAGAATTATTTTTTTTTTCATGTCCCTTTAGCGGATCAGCACAAGAAGAAAATCGATATACAAGAATGCAAATAGAACATTGAAGATTTTTCAAAAAAAAAAAAAAGTTTACTGGACCTGTTCCAGACCTTTGCAAATATTAAAAACTTACTGTTTTCTTTTTGGCTGAACCGAGTCTTTTTTTAATCAGACATAAGCCTAAGACTATGTATATTAGAAAATTTAAGTGTTGAAATCTGTATGGTTTATCAGGCAAAATCTCTATAAAAACAATGTTTTTAAAATCCTCGGCCACTCAAAAAAATAAAAAAAAAAATATATATAAATATATATATATATATATATATATATATATATATATATATATATATATATATATATATACAGAGTACTTACCAGAGTGTCTTCGAAATCCATTGCAGGCAGAATCCATGGTGACAGCAGAAAGTGACTTTATTACCTCAAATCGTGGTTCTTCATTGAATACACGAGCCCATAGTATTTATAGTGCTTAACGCCCACCTCCTTTTAATTCTGTTATTCACAAATTCCATTGTATATCTCGGGTCATCTGTGTCATGACGGAGCATTCCTTATTTTGTAACGTCAAAGAGACAGATTAATTTGCAGGTATTGTCCAATTTCACCTGCAAAATGTTTTAATATTATGTGCTGCATTAATATCAGTGTGAATTAAGTTAACTTTCCTAGTGTATCAGAAATGTGTTCTTTTATGTCTGAGAAAAATTAAGTTTTACTTTTCTCACATCAGTATTAATATAACTACTCTAATATAACTACTCTATAACTATAAGACTATAATAACTCTATAGACTATAATTAAATATAGACTATAGACTATAAATATAAAAAAATATTACTTCTATGCAATTTTCCTCTTCATGCATATGTGTAGATTTCTAACTATTTCCGAATGGCAATGGAGTAGATAAGATATAATTTTTTCTTCAGTTGGTCTGAAGAGATACTAGATTACTTTTTTTCCTGCCAGAAGGTAGATGTGGTTTCCTTATATGGCACCCGAATGCGTTTAAATGTTCTTTTATGTTCAAATACATGATTGAACCTTATGGATCAGAATTACGAAAAAAGAAAAAGGTAAATTAAAAGTAAATTATCCATCTTTTCAGTTCTTTAAGCAGTAAATACATAAATTTCACTCTTGTGTCATAATGCTTTTCTAGATGCAAAGATTTGCTGTTCTCTACTTTCTTCAATACAAAGATTCATGTCTGATCCTGAGCTTCCAATGAAGTGATGATAAACCTTCCATTTAAAGCCAGGAATATGAAGGAGTGACGGTAAACTAATAACACCTTAATCACTGCATTAGTTTTCTTATAAAAACTTCTATTGACTCTAACCCATTTGAATCAGGAATGAATGAGATGATTTAACCCACCATGCTCTTAAACTTGAAGTGAAACAATTTTCAGTCACTTGACAATAATAGGTTTTAATAGGTTGTTTTTATTAAACATAGGAAGCAGCACAAACATTACAAATGTTACAGAATACTTCAGATTGTATAAAACGTAGTTGTACCAAAGAAGACTGCTGATTGAAATTCACTAAATCAAAGTTTTATTGTGCAAGTAGCAAATATCTAAGACATAGTGTTATTGACCTTGACTCGTTTAAACAAGAAAAAATGCTGACCTCTTATAAAAAGAGAGTTTCATAGGCCACATTCTCATCAAATGACGAGCAGAACACTTTTTTTGAAAGACTCGTATTGCTCGTCACTAAGCAATTAGCATGATCTCTGCTTTTACTTTTGAAAATAAAGCACAACGTGTAACACAATATATTTAGATGAGCTAAATAATTAAACTAATGCTGGATGATTTTTTTTTTTTTATTTCAAGTTTTTCCGCCAAAAAAGGATGTGTTTTAAAAGGTATGACACATCATCCCATGGCCATCCTGAGCAAGCTCACTTTTTGAAGCAAGACTTTCTGATGCTCAGTTTCCACTATATGAGTAAACTTATGGATTACAAGAAGTTTATTTTCCTGTTGCTTGTAGTAACAGAGTTAGAACGGATTTTTTTCTCTGCATTCAGATCAAAAAGCAGAGCTGATTTCCTCCTTACAAATCAAAAACATGTAAACACGGATGTATTCACATTGCATGATAAGTGGGGGAATAAGTTAATAGGTAAGTTTTCAAAATGACGCCACAAAAAACAGCATTAGTCTTATTATTTATTCTGTCGATTTAGGTTCTTTGTATTTAGGACTTAGGCTACATAAGGGGGTCCTTCTTTAAAACTATTTGCTTTCAAATCATTCACCAGATATATCTCCTGGGATCCTAGAAAAACAAAGGGTCTCCTTTACAGTTTCATGTCTGATAAGTGCAGTTTTTTTCTGCAAGTGGCTAAAGGAGCAGTTGTGCTCTGTTGTGTGCATAAGTTTGTACTTAAAGGGCCCCTATGCGGGGGACGGGGTCTGCATAGCCGTTCTAGCTTAACTAAGACAAGAGAACTCATACAGCTGTGCATGAACACTATGGAGAAGTGCTTCTGGTTTCTAGTGGCAAACTTGTAGTCGTTAATACTGCTGGCAATGCAGCGGTGTTCTAGGCACAGTTAGCCTCCTCTCCTGATGCTGCAGTTCAAAGGAACCTGAACGAGAAGAGGGATCATGAAGCTGAAACCAGGAGGCCCAAACATCATGTGGTGGCTGGTTCTTTCCTCTGGTTGTGCAGCATGTCTGTCACACTCACTATATCCTCCTCAGGGACCTAAAAGAAAAAAGTTAAAGGACTTTACAAGCTTTACCATACAGGAGTGGTGAATATAATACCGACACACATCATGGGCATTGATGTTTTTTTCAATGTTCGTGTTCTTTTAAAATAGTTTCTAAGAAGTGTGCGGTTTAGGCATAAATCGTTAACCAAGAATCAATATAGTTTAGGGAGAAAAAAAAAATGTGCGTCATGGAAGTCATTTGTGCAGGAATTGAAAGGTACTTATTGATAAAATTGATAAGATTTAAGTAAAAACAGTAGCTCTGTTACTTTTTCCAATCATGCACATCAATGTCATCCTTCTCATTTTCTCAGCAATTTCAGTTTTAGTGTTTTTGGAACTTTTCAGCAATAAAAAAAAAGACTTATCAATGTAAAAAGGGTTTGAAAGCTGACAATAACATAAAGTACAGAGAAAGTATATGAATAAGAGTATGATGTAGGGCGGGCAGTTAATAGAAGTTTCAATATAGTGGCAGTTTTACAAAACATTTTAAAAAGGCACTGACTGAGTAAGACATGGACTTTCACACTCCAGTACTTTTGGTGGCAGTAATACACTAAAGTTGGGTTTCCTGCCCCAAAGAAGAGATGGGAGAGTTATAGTGAGCACTCAGATCAGTCCATTAGGGTCGAAGCACTTTTTCACACAGCAGTAACCGTAAAGTCCTGTGACACCTGAACTCTGGGGCCAGGCTCTATATATATAAATATATATATATATTTTTTTTAAATTCAAGAATAAAATTCTATTATTATGTGAATAAAGTCATAAAATTGATTGAAAAAAATAAAACTCTGAAGTGAAGCATCTATATGTGATTAGTGCAAAGGAAAAGCAAACTAAAATCAAGATGGCCTAGGTGATATTGGTTGAAAAAAAGAATATTTCTTTGGTAAAATCGTTTAGCCCTGGTTTAAAGGAGAATTTCCTCAACAAACACATAGCAAAACGAACAGACAGTAGGCAAGTTTATTTTTATGGCACATTTGGTACAAAAACAGTTAAAAGAAGCTGTGGAATGAAATCCAAAACCACATAACCATGATGGAATGAAATGTTTGCGAACTGCCAGTGTACCTGCGTTAAGTCATTCATAGGCGTTCAGTGGCGATCCCTGATGATTCGCTATATTGAGACATTGACCATAACCTCTTCACTTAAGTGATGTAGGTTTTAATTAGGAATAGCTTAAAATATATCCACCATAACATCTATTTAGCAGACTTTTTTTTCCTTGGGGTGTTTATTTCCCTCTCATTATTTCCCTTTGCAAAACCTGCCATGTGTCATTTTACCAAAAACATAGCAATGCTGAGAGTGCCCAAAAATAGAATCATTGCACAATGACAGAGGAAGGTGACAGTGGGACTGTTGAATAGTGAGACACTTTTTTATCGATTACGTTTTATTTACTAATGTTGACAGAGATGGCTAAGGTTATAATTATTCTGACTTATTGTTAACCTTTGGGAAGTGACCTTTTCTTCATGCCTTGTCACATCCCCCACCCCAACCCCCCACCCCCGTGGTTTCCACCTATGGGCAAAGCTGATAATCTTCCTCGACAACTTATTAACTGCTCAATTTAGAGACTTTCTCAGAAGGGTAGAAGTGATAGCAGTGTAGACGCAAATTCTTTTTTCTTTCCTTTGCATATCTTATGATTTACTATTATCAGGCTCCGTTTGTGGTTTGCAAAGTAAAGAATTTGATGACACAAACAAAATGTAATGCATGACATCCTGCAAAATAATGCATGGAAAGGAGTAAACAACTGAGGCCATCATTGGGTGGAACATTAAAATAATCATTACATGCACATGAAAACATGCAAGTATTCAACATCACAGGTTCAGATTTGATTAGCACTGATTAAACTGCTCAGGCATTACTGAAAAAAAAATCCCAGTTACAAAGAAACATTATTAATGTGTGAGCAAAAAGCTGTTAGAACAACGAGCTGCTAAATATACTGAACTTCTCTAAAAGATGTTGGCAGTTTGCTGTTTTGGAGCTACAGGTGTGTTCAAGCAATACCAAAGTGGAAACAATCCTGTGTCTCAGCTGTAGCTGCGTTTCCATTACAAATGTGCACAAAAATATGACATATTTTATGTTATATTCTGCTAATTTTGTGAAAGCAACTGCGGTATTTCCATCGAATAAGAAAACATTATTAAAATTGCCTGAGAACATGTTGACGAGATATCGCAGGAAGTGGTTTTGAATTTATATTCAATTCCCATCCAGGTTGGATGCAATATTTATGTTGTGAATAACTGTTATATTCAATTCCCAGCCAGCTGGGAATTCATATTTTCTGATACTTTAAGATGTTTATTGCCCTCCCTGGTAGGGGTGGTAAATATCTTATTAAATCAGATATTATTTGGGCTTTTATATATGGATTGTGAACCCACGCCTTACTGTGTGTTAGAACAATAAATGCAAGAGTGATTCAAGCTCAAATCATGGTCAAACAGATAATTCTGCACATACATGGATTAAATTTACCACAATTTCTGTTCAAAATATAAGAGTTTATTAACAAAAATCATTCAGCTCCAAGTCAAACATATTTCAGCTGCACTCCAGCTGCTTCACCGCGCGGTTTAGGTTTTGCACTGATGAAATTATAGAACCACGATAAAGGAATCTTTCTATGGTGGACGGGTTTCTGTTGGGAGGAGTTGATTGAGTTACAGTGGGGCAAAAAAGTATTTAGTCAGCCACCAATAGTGCAAGTTCTCCCACTCAAAACGATGAGAGAGGCCGGTAATTTTCCTCATAGATATACCTCAACTATGAGAGACAAAATGAGAAAAAAAAATCCAGAAAATCACATTGTCTGATTTTTAAAGAATTTATTTGCAAAATATGGTGGAAAATAAGTATTTGGTCAGTTACGAACAAGCAAAATTCCTGGCTCTCACAGACCTGTAACTTCTTCTGTAAGAGGCTCCTCTGTCCTCCACTCGTTACCTTCATTAATGGCACCTGTTTGAACCCGTTATCAGTATAAAAGACACCTGTCCACAACCTCAAACAGTCACACTCTAAACTCCACCATGGCCAAAACTAGAGAGCTGTCAAAGGACACCCGAAACAAAATTATAGACCAGCACCAGGCTGGGAAGTCTGAATCTGCAATAGGTAAACAGCTTGGTGTGAAGAAATCAACTGTGGGATCAATTATTAGAAAATGGAAAACATACAAGACCACTGATAATCTTCCTCGATCTGGGGCTCCACGCAAGATCTCACCCCGTGGGGTCAAAATGATCACAAGAACGGTGAGTAAAAATCCCAGAACCACACGGGGGGACCTAGTGAATGACCTGCAGAGAGCTGGGACCAAAGTAACAAAGGCTACTATCAGTAACACACTACGCCGCCAGGGACTCAAATCCTGCAGTGCCAGATGTGTCCCCCTGCTTAAGCCAGTACATCTCAAGTTTGCTAGAGAGCATTTGGATGATCCAGACGATGACTGGGAGAATTTCATATGGTCAGATGAAACCAAAACAGAACTTTTTGGTAAAAACTCTACTCGTCGTGTTTGGAGGAGAGAGAATGCTGAGTTGCATCCAAAGAACACCATACCTACAGTGAAGCATGGGGGTGGAAACATCATGCTTTGGGGCTGTTTTTCTGCTAAGGGACCAGGACCATTGATCCGTGTGAAGGAAAGAATGAATGGGGCCATGTATCGTCAAATTTTAAGTGAAAACCTCCTTCCATCAGCAAGGGCATTGAAGATGAAACGTGGCTGGGTCTTTCAGCATGACAATGATCCCAAACACACCGCCCGGGTAACGAAGGAGTGGCTTCGTAAGAAGCATTTCAAGGTCCTGGAGTGGCCTAGCCAGTCTCCAGATCTCAACCCCATAGAAAATCTTTGGAGGGAGTTGAAAGTCCGTGTTGCCCAGGAACAGCCCCAGAACATCACTGCTCTAGAGGAGATCTGCATGGAGGAATGGGCCAAAATACCAGCAACAGTGTGTGAAAACCTTGTGAAGACTTACAGAAAACGTTTGATCTCTGTCATTGCCAACAAAGGGTATATAACAAAGTATTGAGATGAACTTTTGTTATTGACCAAATACTTATTTTCCACCATATTTTGCAAATAAATTCTTTAAAAATCAGACAATGTGATTTTCTGGATTTTTTTTCTCATTTTGTCTCTCATAGTTGAGGTATATCTATGATGAAAATTACCGGCCTATCTCATCTTTTTAAGTGGGAGAACTTGCACTATTGGTGGCTGACTAAATACTTTTTTGCCCCACTGTATGAGGAACCAAGCAGGAACTGACATCCATCAGAGCAGAGCTCTCTAACCCTGAAATCTCACATCCTCCGTGACCAGCATTGCTTGGTGTTATTTTTATTTTGAGGAATTGGAGTGAAAAACATTACAGCAAAACTAGCAGTAGTAGTAGTAGTGATGGTGGCTTAGTGGTTAGGGCATAGGGCTTGGAATGAGTTTGAAACCCACTCCCACAGACTGCCACTCTGGGTCCGTGAGCAAGACCGTTAACCCCTGATTGCCCCCTGGGCGCTGCACAGTGGCAGCCCACTGCTCCCCAAAGGGGATGGGTTAAATGCAGAGTTAATTTCTCCATTATGAGATCAATAAAGTTTAATTTATTTTTTATTTAATTTTTATTAGACTCAGACATACTTTAATAATCCCAGAGAAAAATTAAAAATTACTTTTGTTACACTCCATATATATATATACACATACGCAACAAAACCACACAAAATAATATAAATATAAATATATACATTTATAACTCTGTATATATTTATATGTATATATATGCATATGTATATATGCATATGGAGTTTGGAGAAGCAATTTATTTCTTAAATCTATCTTTGCTCTCCTCTAATTTATCCAGACGTTCTGCAAACACACTTTTTCTCTCACTCTCAACTTTGTGATCCGCTGCATATTTAGCCTGCCTTCCCTGGAAAT